TACCAAATAAATGAAATGAAAGAATGAAAAATAATGAATGAAATAAAATATGAACTAATGTCAGTAAAGGATTATAGATCCCTCTATTATTGCTATTATGGTTACAGGCAGCATTATTCATACTTTTTTACTTATCCAGCTCTTTGTGTTTTTAATCTTTTCGATCTAACCTTTGGGTCGAAAGTGATGCTTCATGGGGCGATCCAGTAATTGAGCCAAATCTATGGAAAGGAGAGAGTTCTCAAAAAAACAGGGACTACATTGCAAAACGGTAAAAAGTTGAGTTACTTTTGTTATGTCTCACAAGAATGGCGATTTGTGGGCAAAACTTCGGCCTCGGACGCGACTTGATCGCGTACTTGTGCTTTCCGGGCGCCGTGCGGTTTCTTCTGTTATGGTTATGTGACGCAAGTGATGGGATGATTATAATAAGAACTGGTAATTTATATAACATGGGTACAGTACTGGGCAGTCCAGTTTCCAATCATCCCTTCTTCCACCCCTCCACTCTCGAAATCGTGAGTTTGGGAGTTTTCTTCTCCAGATAGCTCCTTTCATGTTAACCTTACGCATTCGAAACTGGTTTGGAATTGAAGAATTAAAATAAATGTAAAAAGAATAGAGCGATGAAGCTCGAAGAAAAGGTCCAAAGGTGGATGACAAGACGGCGTGACTATAATGAGGACCCGTGCGTGAGGAAAGAAACCAAAAAGAAAGGCTAGATCGTGTTAGCCACGACACGATCGTATATGCGTAGGAATGGCGAATATTTACTAAAAAATATGAAAGTATTAGTCATTGAATGAACAAATGATGGCTATTCAAACAGCAGCTGCTCAAATTGTCTCACTTCACCATTTCACAGTGGAATCGATCGAATCAACAAAAATGGAGCTTTGAGGTGATGAACCAGAAAGGAGGAAATAGCCATCGTTCTGTAAGGTGTACCCGGGCCGTTTAGGAAATTTGTAGAAAAATTTCGTTTTGTGATGGCGAATAGGCGACGATGCGCTGAATGAGTCANAAAGAAAGGCTAGATCGTGTTAGCCACGACACGATCGTATATGCGTAGGATTGGCGAATATTTATTAGAAAATATGAAAGTATTAGTCATTGAATGAACAAATGATGGCTATTCAAACAGCAGCTGCTCAAATTGTCTCACTTCACCACTTCACAGAGGAATCGATCAAATTGACAAAAATGGAGGCTTTGAGGAAATGAACCACAAGAGAAGGAACAGGCCACCGTCCTCAAAAGGCGTACCAGGGCCGTTTAGGAATTTTGTAGAAAAATTTCGTTTTGTGATGGCGAATAGGCGACGATGCGCTGAATGAGTCAGCGAAAAAATAAACAAACGAAGGTGATGGCCACGGGATGGCCGCAAATGTGAGGGCGTCGGCGGAACTGTCACAAGACAGGCATTACCTGACCGAAAAACTCGCTAATGATTGGTAGACGAGAAGGCCATAGGGGCCGCCTTCATAGATCGGAGCTAGTACTCACCCGCCGAGTTCACTATTTCTTAGGAATCGAATTTACGGATATTTATGTTGGAATGGTAGCTATCCTCCTGAAAGGGGAAAAGCGGAAGTGACGAAATTGGCGTACTTGTCTGTAGGGATGGAAAAGCCGATATAGTAATTGATTTGAGCATTTGACACGCACGCTCTTCATGCTAATGAGAATTGAAAACCTCTAAGGAGTGCACAACGAAACCTTTTTTGTCAACTTTCTGATGGGTCTGCCTTTTTCATGAGAAGTTTCAAACATTTTTCTTCACACACATACGAAAATGGGTGGAGGTGGTGTAGTGGCAAGTGGCCCACTATCTCACACGCTTGGTTACAGGTTCAAATTCCGGATCGATATCGGACTTAGTCAACCAATCTTCCATCCCTCCGAGTCGGTTAACTGGGACCTGACCGTCTGTGAGGATAAAAACACTAACTTGCGCATGGCCACCAAAAATCATTGTGGCCACATACGCATGCAGTACGTCACTACGATTCTGAATGGGAGTCGAATGCGGGGCGCATCTCCAGGCTGGATTTATCAAAACCGAACAATTTTAACTTATCTTTATATATACGGAATACGAGTTTATTGGTCCATTTTGTAGATCATCGCCTTGCGTTGCCTTTGATCAGTCATCAATTATTTACTTCACCGGAATACCCGGATAGTGGTTCTCGACCAATTGCTTCTTACTGTTACTTACTGGATATGTTATATTTACTATTTAAAATACTTTGATCTGCTATTTAGAACCTTTTTTTATCAAGTAATCAGTCTACATAAAACTGGGTTGGCTAACTTTCTTACGGATGGTATTTTCAGAACAAAACATGGATGCTTCTCATTTAGCAGCAGTTCATTCTGGTGGACGCTTGAGGAGTCAATGAAAAACCCAGGAAGTTACCTAGTCTTACCTATAGAAGAATAACGAGATTTCAAGAAGATCTCCATTATCAAGAAATGTCAAACGGTACAACTGATCAATTATTTTTCAAACTTGATGCAATTGTTGAAATATTCACTTTATTTAGATTTTTTATTTGTGAGCCAAACCACTTGAAAAAAAGCGAACGCCACCAACCATCGATGACTATTGAAAAAGTCAACATTCACGCTCTCAATCATGAACTCAGGTGTGTACCATCACAGTTGTTTGTTTTGTTGTGAGGGAACTCTCGTACTCCATGTGTCAACAGTCTTTCTTCCTCATTTAGAGTTATTCCCACTATTACCAACCAGATATTAGTCAAGAAGCTGGCTTCACTGAGTTCACTGTCAAATTGACTTGCGAATGTACTGAAATTTCAGGAAATACCAATCGGAGTTGTACAGTTTTGCCGGCATCGCAAGCGAATTCTGGAAGGGCTCCTGCATAAGGGAAGTGAAGTGAGTGAGTCTTGAGCTGAGATGGACGAACTTTGGGTCTTGCCAGCGCGTTAGCTAAGCAGAACTCACAATACCACCCTGATTCCTCTATATTGGTCCTGATCCTTTCCAGGAATCAGGACCATCAAGTGAAAATAGCTTTTCGTATGGTTGATGTCGCAATCTACTCCAAGAACTACCCGGCATGATCCCGAAAATCCCAGAAGGAGCTGCCGTCCACTCCATCCCGACAACGATCGTCTTCACCTATCATCGATCACTCGCAGACAGGTGGGTTCGCTGAGTTACTAAGTCATAAAAAACGTAGTTCGTCCGAAAACTTATAGAATTGTGGGGTCTCATCCAACTTAACTCCAGCTCTGACTACTATTCCCTCGAGGTTTCCAAATAATTTTACTGCCAAAATCCTCGATGGTACTTAAGTTATTGGTAATAAACTTGCCTCCTCATCCCTTCTTTCCCTCTCGCTTGGTTGCAGTTTTGGACCTGAAAACTGATAACATGACAGATTGAGGCCACTTGTTGATAGCTTTTCTCACTGGTAGTTGTTGATTGGAATTTGGACTTGGTTTGTTTATATTACCTTTTGCTATGATTGTTGCTAGCAGTAGTACGTGATTACGGTAACGTATCTGATTGAATTGCAATACAATTAAGATATCACACTGTGGAAATCTGAAGTAACGGATGGTACGACGAGGTACCGATTCATTCGAAGTTTTCTGGCTGAGCAGTGATCTCTGACACTATCAAACATCAGTGACAGCTTTCAATTGCGACGAACCCTCCCACAAACCCAGTGAGGTCATTTGAAGGAACTTCTTCTTTTGCCTGTTAGCACGAGCTTTTACTCAACTTTATTTTCGGGGTAGTTGATGATTATAGGCGTCATAGCACTAGCTATCTGGTACCCTTTAGTTTTAATTTTGGCCAGTTCCTCGATAATATCCAGCAAACTAAGGAATAGCATACTTCTTGGCCTTGGAGATTTCCACAATTATCACATATTACTATTACTTACAACTCGCCATAACACTGAGTAAGTCGAGACTCATCCTGTTGCCGACTCTTCAGAGTCCAAAACCCAGCCAGCGGTATCATAAAGAATTTTTGGTCCACTAAAAGGTTTCTCTTGGAGAAAATTTCTTCTAGTACCCCTACTGGTAAGAACTGAGTAAGGCTAGCAATATTCGTCAATGAATTTGTTCATAAGAGTTGTTGACTTCAGATTTTGTTGATCTTTTTTAGAAACCAGTCCAACTTCAGGTGAACACTTCTCAGGCGGAGCAGAGTCTGTTGTAGTCACTAGGAAACTTTTCACCGGGATAGTTCGTAGGTTTGTTTGTTTTATTTTTTTGTTCGATTTCGTTGGTTTGAAGAATGATACATAAGGGATAGGAAAACCCGACTGATAATGAGCTATCAGTGTCCCTATTTGAAGTTGGGCATTACATCTTGAGAAGAACTTTATAAAACTTCGCACTAAACTCCAAAAGAATCCAGTGAACAATGTAAGGTGCCCTCTCAACTTGGAACAGATTCAAATTTGTTGCGATTTTTTACGGGACCATCGGAACCGGATGCTTTTTTCATCTTCACCTATCGAAAGAGTAGTTAATGAAGATGAGCCATCGATTCCGGCTCGATTCAGACGGCTCAACTCAATCCCTCAAAAGTTATTGTCAAATACCTGGTGTACTATCTTATCGATTACCAGTTCATTACAGGCATGTCCAGCAATTGGGTTCAGGCAAGCATTTAATCTTACTTAGACCTGACACTCCCATCGAAAGGCCTGTAGACTAGTGAATGGCTAGATCCATTCCTAGACATGCTTGAAACTGAACTTGAGCACAGAAGAAAAACAAATATTCAACCTCTAGTTCCAGTTCAAAATTGAGCTCAACATTTATAACTTCTTTGGGTTCATTTATTTGAAAAGAGAACCAAGCAAACAATTTTATTCTGATCAACAGTACAATTTAAAAACTAAAAAATTGAATGTAGCAATAATGCACAAATAACTTCTAAGCAAAAATCACTCGTATATAGTTTAACCCCGACGTATCACAGCAGAATGGTGAGGGAACCTTAACTCAATGCTCCGATAAAACAGGAGGAGCCCGTTCAGCATCATTACGAGCACTATAACCCGCTTTATGATAGCGACCAAAGTGACGAGGATAACGTCGTGGGCCAGAGGACGATTGAACAGCTTCCCGATGTTGCTGAATTGATGAACTCGCTTCATCTGTTGTTTGTTTATACGGAGGTGCCGATTTCGGTGCATTCTGAGCTTTCGCTTCGATCTCGGTAGCGCCTCGTTGTTTCTGATCGGTATGCTGCTCACGATAACCTCCTCTCCCTCGACTTCCTCCTCTATAATAATGACCGTCATTGAAACGTCTACCCCGTCCTCGACCACGTTGAACATGAGTGCCTCGTTTGTGTGAGTCATGTGGAGCTTGATCACCACGCGGTATGTTCTCGAATCCTGGTGGGACATCCAACTCCACACTGTAAGCAAGTAAAAATACATAAAATTTAGTAAAAATTGCATTTCAGAATGTTTCTTGAGTTTCAAATTGTTCATGTACTTCTAGCGCTTTTCTTCTTTAGTTTTTTCTCCAAACCTATCGTTACATCGAATTAAAGGGCGGGAAAGCTTATTTTCAGCGCAGATGGGAGTGGTCATGGTTAGACATTGATCACATATTACGTTAAACTTGATAAAAACTGTATAAATGAGTAAAGCTAATTATTATGGCCGAGAGAAAGAAGAAAGTTACTATATGAGATTTGATTAACTAATAGCTACGAACATTGTAGGAGGTAAATCAAAACTCACTGTTCAGACTGAATTTCCTCGTTCGTTTGCGGTGGTCCTGATACAGAAGGCTCGACGGCTAGGCCTTCCACCTCATTTGCAAGAACCACTACCTGATAAGGTCGAAAGATCATATCGCATGTCAGACATAAGAAGTTAGTAAACTTTCAATAATAAATTGAGAACGGTAAAAACCTCAAAAGAAGCATATGTTCTCGTGAGACAACTGAAAATAGCGGTGACGATTTTTTGCATTAAAAAAGATCGCTTACCGTGCCCTCAGTGACGAGATTCTTCTTTCGTTCTTCTTCAAGATCGATAATACCACCTTTACGCTTCTGCTTCTCATAAATAATCATAAGAGATGCTTGTTGTTGTCGCCATCTAAAAAAGTTCATCACGTCATGTCAAACAGCACTTAGAGGCTCTGACAAACTGGAAATATGGCTTCAATCTTTTTATCTTTACTGTATTACTCTTAAGTAGAAATGAAAATTTCTTTAAGTCTGCTCAATATATACCACAAAACTGAACATTTCCTAACAAAGACATACCGTTCCCAGTCAAAGTCAAAGTCGGTGAGTGATTCTTGTTGAACAAGACGACGTACTGGAGTGGTTTCACGCTCTTTCAGGCTGACACGTCTTCTACGACCAGGTGGTGGAGAAGGTTGAAGAATGGGTTCCACTTTTTCTTCTATTACCACTCTACAGACGGGGCATCGCAGAGACTGAATCACTTGGATTGAGTCGTTAAAGGTAACTGTAAGGCTGACTTTATCAAAACGCTAATAACCCACCCTGTCAATGTCGTCACACATTTTGAAGCCTCTAGCAGCAAGCTTCTCCCCTAGCTGCCTTCGAGTGTGCTCCACATGCTGTTCGAGGCACTCAGAGTGGGCATAGTGGTCACAAGGTGTAGCCGAAACACTAGTTGATGCCAATGGACACAAGCAAATTGGACAGGCTAAGGATGATGAATGCTGATGCTCCAAAATAAAGTCAGCACAGTGCTGCAACATCAATAATCATGAGGAAAACAGAGAGCGATCTTCTACTCAGCAGGATTCACCACTGATAAAGGAAACCGTACCTGTAGAATATCAAACATAACAGGAGTTCCAACGGTCTCTCTGAGTCGCTCAGTCACTTCCTCGACGAGCTGGCATTGCGACTGCTCGGAAATTCCCCGTGGATTTAAAAATTGCACTTTCGGTGAAACTTCCGGATACTAAAAGGAAGACATGAAGAAAGAAGGAAACTTGTAATAGTTATCGAATGCACAAAATCATGGCAAACCTTTGGTCCCAATTCAAATTCGACCACAATCGATGCCGATGAAACACCCTCCTCATCATTTGGTCGAACCTTTTTGCTCACGATCGTCAGTGAACGATCAGGGCTATAAGGCTATCGATAAGTTACGAAGTATTTTTCATGGTAGGTCTATCTAAAGTCATTTCATTTGAAATTACCCCTATCAGCCCGTGTCAACAAAGGATATCAAAGTGGAAATCCGTTTTTTAAAGCCCTATTCTCCTCACATAATGACTGATCCGCGTCATGCAAAAATTACTGCTGTCATTCTGACTCGCTCAGCTTCTATCTAACGAAAAAAAGGAAGTTCCGCATTTTCGTATGCCCGCCTCACAAAATCCATTACTTCCCTATGTTACAGCAGCTCTCATCGACCACAGACTTCAATCATTACTTGCAATGTAGTTGAGCGAAATATAACTTACCAAATTTAAGCTGCTATNAAGTGGAAATCCGTTTTTTAAAGCCCTATTCTCCTCACATAATGACTGATCCGCGTCATGCAAAAATTACTGCTGTCATTCTGACTCGCTTAGCTTCTATCTAACGAAAAAAAAGGAAGTTCCGCATTTTCGTATGCCCGCCTCACAAAATCCATTACTTCCCTATGTTACAGCAGCTCTCATCGACCACAGACTTCAATCATTACTTGCAATGTAGTTGAGCGAAATATAACTTACCAAATTTAAGCTGCTATCGGATAAGGTATGATGACTTCTAATTATCAATTACTAGATTTACATCATATGCGAACAAGCCGTAGACCTACTTGGAATTAACCGAGATCTCATCGCCAAAAATTGATCGCAAAGCTTCAATTTCTGCCTCTGCCTCCATCTGCAGCAGTAACATCAGATCAATACTTACGCAAAAAAAGTCGAAAGACAACTATGTGAAGTGATCGAAACCTTCATAGCTCAACTGAACATATCAATAGTAATACATTTATTGACAGTCATATCAGTACATGAAGTAGCATAACAAATAATGCAAAAGGTCAACCACATCAGAACAAAAAACAAATGAAGAGAAGCTTTCTTTTAGGAATGAGAAAAGGTAGCATAGCAAGGAATTTGCAAATAGAAATAACTTACTTCTTATGTCGAGGTTGTTCTCATACCCATTCTTCTGCCCATTTCACGAGGGTCGAGACGCATCGTCGACTTCCGAAGTTGAATAAAAAAAACGAAACGCACCTTTCACTTCCTTCGATACACCGATACCAATACAATGTGACTGCGGCCGCTCACAGAGTCCAGCCATTCCAGTTGTTGCAATAGCAAACTCGTAAAAGGACACTTACCTCTCTTCCATAATTCCATTTACGTCCAACGTCAAATATCGATAAGTTAAAACGTCAATAAAACAATTTTAAAATAGAGGATGCTGAAGATGATGAAGTCTTTCAAGTAGGAAAAGAAATTAAGTTGGATTTCAGAAGGAGAAAAATAATGGAAGATCAACAAGAGCATTTGAGTTGATGGCGCTGCATTTAACGGGAGATGAGAGTCTCTAATCACTTCAGTCCAAATCTTTCCAAACGGGCCCTCTTCTTCTGTTCCAAGTCCTAAGAAAGAGTGATTGAATATGTTGAATCAGAGTATTAAAATTAGAAATTCATCAATACTTACATCAGGAGCGCTGGTTTTCAATCCAACATTCTTGGCTGGGGCTTTCACTGCTTCCTGAACCAGAACCGAGGAAATTTCAAGAATAAACACAGTCCCGTAAAAAAATAAACAAAAAATTGAGATCTGTTTTTTTGAATGAAGCTCTACGGGTTAATTGTCCCAAGTCAACATTTCAACCCAAAATCTACGATCTAAAACCTTTAAAGGGACCTAACAGATACTCCTCTCTTGGCAAAAGTGACTTCTCGAAATACAAACTTGGCTAGCAATTTAGAGACTGGAGATAAAGGAGAAAAACAAACGCATACCTGCGGTGCCGTTGTTTTTCCTTTATCATTCACTGGCAAACCGAACCTGAAGATTCACTACCATCAAAGGAGATTAAAATGAAGGAAATATTGTAGCTCCCACTAAAAAATCATGTCGTTTAACGAACCTTTGGGCTCTTATCAAGAGTTTCTTTTTAGTTTCTTCATCTGCGTTGGCTAAAACTCTGGCTCCAGGTGATGTCTGTCCAGTTAATCCAAATCTAAAAAAATATTTCAAGACTATTCTAAGAACAATTAACTGAGACCGCATACCTCTCAGCTCTTTTCGCTTTCATTTCCTTTTCGGACGCGGATGTTACAACAGCAAGTCCGAATCTGAATTATATTATGTGTAGAAGATAACCAATCTCTATATGACCCATTATATCGCTTGGGCACTTGCTAATTACTCACCGTTCAGCTCTTTTCGCTTTAGCAAGTGGATCTGTGACGGCAACTGGTAGACCGAAGCGTTGTGCACGTTTCAGTTTTGCATCGAGAGCGAGAGGATCATGAGGCGGAGTTATAGCAGCAGGTTTGGGCTGAATACACATACATCAGATGATCATCGATTATGATTTTGCAACTGAGCTATAATAGTTGGAAAAACCTGGTAACCTTTTCATTCTTAGCTGGAGATTGAGGCGCAGGCTTTTCTTCTTCTTTAGTGGGTTCGCTAACTTCATCGATCAGTTTCTCAGGTAGCACATCGTTAAGCACGTCATCGTTCAATAGATCCTCTGAAATTCGATTATTCGTCAAATTTCAGAAGGCACATCATCCCTACACTTATGTGCAAAGAAGATTAATCCTATGGCGCTGCTTTGGCTTGGTGCTCAACGACATAGAGTCTACAAATCACTATATTACCGTCTGGTGTGGACAGAGGATCACCATATCCGCCATCTTCACTGTGATTGAGGATAGCATCTTCTTCAGCCTAAAAATTACAGTTACAATGGGAGAACCATATTGATTTTTTGATTTTTCACTATCAACTATTTTACTGACTGTAAAGCAATTGGTACTACAAAAGTGAAGCAAAACGGAAAACAGAGTACCAAGCTGAAAAAAATACAATGCTTCAACAAAGCCAACCTTCTGCAGCAGTTTTATAAGCTCGCTCTTTTTGGCTTTCGGGTCTGGAGTGATTCCACGTTTCGTTAATTCTTCTTTCAAATGTGGAATCTAAAAAGAAATCATCAGAAAGGTACAGGCATTGAACGGAAATCGTACTCACAGTCATTTTCTGATAATCAGCCTCTGAGTTCATTTTATAGGAGTGGGAAGGGACTTGATTTCTGATTCGACTCTGAAACTTCAGAAAATTAATATCTTATTGAAACGATTCGTATCAAACGCATGAATCGATATCAAAGCCGGCACAAGTCCCCATTCCCTGCTCAGGAATTCCAAACGAATCACTGCACGAAAACATTAAAACGAGTTCGAATCAAGCTGTGATATTCAGGACGTACGTACGGCTTTTTTTTTGATTTCCTTACTATCATGTAGTACAATGATTACCTTCCTTATTTTCCTATACAAGATTGCGAGTACAAAATCACGATTTTCTTGGGATAGAATGATGAAAAGAAGTTGAAAATGTAAGCATGACTATGTACTACACATACTAATAACCGATTCATCACAAACCGTTGAAACATCTCTACGATATCATCATTATGAAAATTATTCTGCTTCAGAAGCTTACAAATACTAACTACAAGCCAAGATCCGATTTGTGGTCAAATTTAATAACATGCACATAACCATTTACAATCATAACAGAGGAACTGCTTGAGGCGCGCAACATAGTCATCTACAAAATGACCTTTAAAATGGAAAAGTTGAAGCCAGGCAATGGTGAGTACTTGGAATCTTGCCAGAAGTATTTGTAAGGTTTCCGAGCAAGCCCAATTTCAAGATAGCAGTTAAGGGCTCTATATCGGTTCAACATATTTCTTGGAAATTTCAGATGGAGATTTATTTTCGAAAATCAATTCGCCTTTTCAGAATGACATTTTGATTTTTTTCTGTTATGAAGCAAACAAAAGGAAGCTTTCAAAATTCGAAGTAAAATCGATTTCAATGAAATCATTGGACGCAGGCTATAACTTGATAGTGCATATGATAGTGATAGACAAATCAACTAAATTGAAGGAGAAGTTTACAGATCTCAAGAAAGCAATACAAAGGCTGTTTTGAGAAGCTCCAGCACCATATTCCAAATGCCAAGCAGCTCACGGAGATGACGAGCGTCTTCTTTTAATAATGCGCGTAAAATTAAAACAGTGTCCGCAATTACCCACAGTGATTTCAAATTCACGACAAGATCTTGTCTCTTCTCTTCAGTTCAGTTCCTCGAACGACTTCTCCATGTGATGCCTGATTTCTTCCTCTATAAACGGTTATTCTCCTTTGTCGTCGCCTTACTGTGCTTCTCAATCATAGTTGTCTTCATGGAAGAGTATGCCGAAGACGATATCCAGTCGAAATTCGTGTCTTCACTACCAGAATCAAAATTGTCGAAGGACAAACGGTCACGAGAAAACTGTTGGTTACATGAACCGACAACTGTGATCACACCATGTGAAAAGTGTTCGGAATTTGAAATTCGAGCTTTAAAAACGAAACACTGTGTGGAAACTGGGTCCTTCAAACGTGTCAATTGCACCGAATCGGGCAATGTTGTTCTTCTTCCTTGTGGCACGTCTTCCTCGTCGGCTCGTGTAAATTTTCACATCTTTTCAACTTGTAATATTATTCTTATGATTGGAAGTTTTTTGTTGGCTAGACGACGTATTGAAGAGGCTAACAGGCGTGCATATATGCGAGTAGCACAATTTTTCGAATCATCGCCTTAAATTTTGTTGTATTTTTTTGATTTGTTTATGAGAGATTATGTAATTAAATAATTTATTGTATATTGTTTGCTTTATACTGTACACTTGTTTGAGAAATTAAATATTCTTCTTAAGTTTGTGAAGTATTGACTTGTAATGGCTCGATCCGTTTTTCCCTTTGAAATTTTTAGTTTATTGCTTTTTCTTGGTTTTCTTTCTTTTTTTCGCAAAGAACAAAGAACTTCTAGGAACTTGTAACGAATAATGATGTAACAAGATTGGCAAAACTGTGAAGAACTCGTCATGATCCGTTGGAAGTCCGTGAAGAGCAGCTTGCTCTTTGGCGCTATTTGCTTCATGTTATTGTTACTGGACAAAAGCCTCGTCGAGTATAACGAGAAACAGGAAAAGAACCCATATTTGGGCAATAGTTATGCACCACGCAAGGACAGCGGTAGTCCGGCAAATTCGTGTGACCCTTCGGTGATCGCCGAACTGAATAGGCTCAAGAAAGCTGTCAATAAAGCGAAATGTACTGCCAACAACGGCAAGGAGATGACCTGCATGCGAGATGAAACTGAATTCTACTTCCCATTTTCATTCATCAAAAAGCAGTACGATGTCTCTGGTAAAATGTCGAAAGGTGGGTCTCTGGTTTTCATTTTCAGTAGTTTCCTTGGAACGAAGTATCCGATTCAGATGGCAGTCGCTTTGAACTCTTCACTTCCTACTCGAAAATTCGCGTACCGGAGGGTGACTCATACGATCCAGTGGGACCATTTGGTCACTTTGCCACGTACAGCGTCGAGACAAGGGACCGAGTTCGCTGTATCAGCGCAGAGAGCGGTGAGTAATTTCTTTGGGGATTTCAAAACTTTCTTATACTGCTTTAAAACATTTGGCTAAAACTCAGTTCATTTTTAACTTGGGTAGATGAGCAAATTCAGTATTAAGGTGTTCCTATGTCTACGCAATGGAATGCGACACCATATTACTACCCAATCCAGATTGCGCAGTATGGCCTGCAACATTACAGCAGGATGTTAGGTAGGAAGATTCTTTTGAACATTGCTTCATTAAGGCTGGCTTTAAGGTGCTGCTTTGCGAGGAGTGTGCAGAATAACAGGGGTGATGGTTTGTATGATGTTCCTGTCCTGGAAGCAGAAGCCTGTTTTGTTGTTACCCATCCGATTCTATATGGAGGCCGAGAAAGCCAAAATAGTTCGGGTTGTGGGCCCTCATTCTTTGTGGGCATGACCAGAGTTTTGAGAAAGGTTGTGCAAAGGCTCTAAGGGTTTCAATCCAATATGTAGTTTCAGTTAACAAGACTGACGAGGATGCGATCGAAAAGGGCCTGCAGAGTAATGAATGGAAGGGGTCGTCAGACTCACAAGATTCAAGTGAACGTGTATTTTATCATGACGCTGAGAAAGGCAACTTGGTCAACATCACTACATCTGGTTAGTCTATCTTTTGATCTATCGCGATTATGTTCTTTTTCGAACTTTCTTAGGAGTCATTCAAAATTTCATTTACTGAGCTTTGAGGGTTGGAACAGTACAAATAACAAGGTATAAAGAGGTTAGCAAAAAGTTAGTTACGTCCGACGCTGTTGAAACATTGCTGAAATGTGTCCTAGTTAGAGTCTAAGTGGAAGAATTGGCCTGTCAAGGCTGGACCCTAGTGCTTTCATTCATCGTTGAGCACATTGTAGTGACACTCTTACGGTATTGTGCATAGAAAAGTAGCGGAAGTTGGTCTTGTCGATCTCTTGTTACTGCTTTATTCTTAGATCGGTTTTGCATTTGACTTGTACTCAGACGGCTTTTTTGTTCAGCAGCACCATGAACCCATTCAATTAGTAGTTTCGTATTAAGATGGTTTACCATATCATGGCTACTGTAGCGAAGGAATGTGATATTCCTGTTCTAGTCCAGGAAAATACTCACGGGCCTATTCGATAAGTTATTGTATCCATGATTAGGTGAATTGTCCAATGCCGGCTGTTACGTATTCCTGGACCAATCGCCTTTACATCATGTTATTTCGTTGGAATGGCTGCCTATTCAAAATGCTTCGTTCTCCATCCTCGTACGGATTATCGAAACGGACATCTTAGTGCTTCTGAACTATGTCACTCATCACGATTCACGCTGCGTTTGGAACGATTCCGTGTCTTTCGCAGGTCTGGAACAGGTTCGTTCATTGTTTAAAATTGATATTCATGTAATTCCTTATATATTGAATTATGCTCAGGTATCCTTTTCGTTCTCCCTTGGTGAGCTTCGAAATGATTGGCAATCTATCACTCGAGATGCCTTAGTGGACACTTCACGGGCGTTGTCAAGTATGAATACAAGTAAGAAGCGGGAAGGCAATGTAGTGCTCCACCCAGGTACTGAAATTTCCTCTTTCCACCAGATGAGTTTAAATTGAATTGACATATACTCAAGGAGACATCAAGCTAGTGTCGATTGGATTTCGTGGTGCTGTGGTCGTCAGGCAGAAAATTGTACAGGCTCGAAATGCTCACATGAAATTCTTCTTGACAGCGGCTGATTGGCTAGTGTCGAATCAGGATGACGAGGTAAAATTCCTTTTTTTATAATGAGTCTTTTTTTCTGTACAGTGCCGAAAGATACTTGATTTTGTAGGGCGGATGGTCAGTACCTGTAGAGCGAGCTATCGCGGAACGCCGTCTCGTGCTTGATGCTGGTTGGCATTCGGCTATGGCACAGGTATTTTTATCAGTTGCTGAAAAACTATGAGATTAATTGGATTTCTGATTTTTTCGAGCATTATCTGAGGAATCGTTAAAATATCCTGATTTTCAGGGTCATGCTCTTTCTCTTCTCACTCGCGCACATGCTGTCACGAAAAATGCCAGTTATCTCACTGCAGCCAGCAATGCGCTCGATTTATTCGAAAAGGTTTGCTCCTCTTGACTTCCTCAAGCATGGATATCCCAGAAACCGATAGTTGTTCCTTGGATCGAAACAATCCAGATTGATTAGATTTGAATTAAGGATGCTTCCGCGGGTGGAATACGTAACAAATTATTCGGCTACGATTGGTATGAAGAATATCCCACAACTCCGGGCAGCTTCGTTCTCAATGGATTCATTTACTCCTTGATTGGTTTGTACGACTTCAAAAGTGTCAAAGTGAATAGTGAAGGTTAGTTTGCGGTATTTCAGATATTTTCTTCCGTCTCACTTTTTTGTTTTACGATGTTCATTCTCCGCATTTCCCTCTTACTCAATGATTTTACCTGGTTTTATCCAATTTTCCAATTCTTTTTGAACTTTGTGAGCGACTTCATCCTTTTTTTGAAGGAGTATGAGTCAACTATCTGAACAGCCATATTTGCAAGCTTAAATAGAAAATAGATCGAGAACAATATAGTCGAATATCTAAAAGCAATCTTCGACAAAAGCTGAAATAAAGTGCATCAATCGCTTTGCGGGCTTGAAGCCCAAGAAAGTGTGAACCATTATTATTTCCTGCACTATTCTCGATGAGTTTTGTGATTCATGAGGAAGGACGAGTTGTCCGAAATAATCATCCGTTCTGAAGTAGTATTTTGAAAAATTTGTCATTTAGCACCGGAAAAGGTACACAGTGGTGTTGAACGGGCGTCGAGAATGTTCTCTACGGGTATGGACTCTCTGCGCGCTTTGTTACCTCTGTATGATACGGGAAGTGGTTCAATCTATGACTTACGACACGTAGGACTGCACACGGCGCCGAATCTAGCAAGGTTAAAATTGACGTCTTGTATAGCCTCATCGTCATGAATAAATAGTTCATTGTTAATAATTTCAGATGGGATTATCATGCTGTACACGTTTATTTGCTGAAATGGCTTGTTCAAATAACGGGCGATAAGTCGTTGAACGAAACGGCAGATCGGTGGATAGCGTATTCGTGGGGACGAAAAGCGAAACACAACTGATTCGCATTTCTAATTTCGCCACCGCCTGGCCACACAGCATACCCATTTGGGGTATAGTTCTATCAAGAGTTTTTATAACTTCAATATAGACTCTCGAGCATGATTTCGAAGTTTTTTCATCTTCAGTGCGGTTTTTATAGGTTTTTTCTTACACTTTGCTTATTTTGAGTTAATTCTTATTCATCTATATTCAAAAGTTGCTTTCTTGTTGCCCAATAATTCAAAATCAAGCGAAAAGTCGAATCTCAATTTGGCCAGATTAGGCTCGACGGTTTCTTTTAATATGCAGGTTGATTTGCTTTTATTTAGTTCTATTTCTTTGCCTCCTGTCTGCCTGAGCACTTTAAACTACTTACTTACAATTTTCGTACACATGCTATCGGCTTACTTAACTGTTTTTATAGTTCAACCCAGTTACATCCTTATTAGGAATGTTTTCCAAAAATTCATGCCATACGTCTCACGCCATAGTTGGGTTTTTCCCATGCCATATAAGCCTTCTTCCTGCGTGGGCACTGTAAAATGCTGGGCTCCCTAGATGTCGAGTGAACGATTTCTTCCTGCTTACTTTATTTACAATTTAATGCTGATCGGTTCTTAAGAGCGATACTAGACTGCCCCTTCATCTGTTACTTTCATATTCCCAGTTATTCTCTACTTACACGAGAGAAATGTGTGAAATCGGGTTTCAAGGCATTGGATTTTTGATTCTCCGACGTTTCCCTTCCCTCCTCGCTTTTCTTATTTTCATTTTTTTCTAAGTTTCCTCATCGTACTTTACACATAGCTATACTTTATCCAGTAAGAGTGACCGTTGCTATACGGGTTACGGAAAATTAATTTTTTTACGTTCAAAGTAGTTTCTGCATTGTAGGCTGAATTATAAGCAGCCGAGTTAGGTTCCTATAGCCGCGCACCTAATGCCCGTCTTCGATAAACGCGCTGGCTTAGGCTTTGCCAGTTCTGTTACAGTTTTTTTGCTAAGTAGAACTTCAGCAGCTCGTTTTACTTTAATTTGTCGAAAAATTTCTAACTCGATTTTTTTATTTTGGTTTTTAATGACATATTTGTTCACGCTGTGATAGGTTGGTCTAACTCAATTGCACTCGGTAGTTGTTCATTGTAGATTTCAGATTCTATTTGAAGGTGTTGTGACATTATCAGCTACTTCCTGGATGGTTGCTAGTTTACATACAAAAGTTACTTGTTTCAGTTTTTTTTNTTTTTTTTACTACTTCTTGTGACTGTGTGCTACGTTGTTCTCGGTTATAGGTGCTCTCTAGTTGTTTATTCTGTTAATTTTGTCATAAACAGCTGCACAGATCGTTTACGGTTTACATGAATTTTCTGTTGCCCTTTTTTCTTTGAACTTTTGGACCTGGTACTACTCAACCCAGAGCACCTGTATAACTTCGGCATGAACTTTTGTGCCCTGATGCCAGAGGCAGATAGTCTTAGGGATATTTCTAGTTGACATTTCTCCCTTTCATTTTTTTATTTCATTTGCGACACTGCAATTAGATCGGTAGTAAATTAGGATAGAGCAAGTTTTCGCTGAAGTTATTAATGGCACAGAGCACGATAACTTAGATGTACCCTTTTTAGGTAGAAAGGTGAAAGCGTTGAGAGGATAGATCGGTGGCGAGGGGAGCGAGGAGATCCGCCTATTTCAAGGCTTCTCAAAGTAGCGGAAATGGAGGATGTACGAGATCACCGTGACGGTTATGGTATGTGAAGGGTGTTTGAACGAGATTTAACTTGCTCCTATTGCTCAAAGAGATGACTACTTCAAGCCGAAATTATCCGGAACTGCCTTTCACTGTCGGGATGGGTTATCACAATGTGGTTGAACTTCCTACATGGAAGTCTCTTGGGATCGTGCAGCCTCTACAAAGCCGTCAAAACTCGTTCACGATGGGCGCGGCATTCACACGTTGGAATCCCTGGCCCTTCACTGTGCCATATCCGTGCCTTTTCGATCTTATATCGGCAGGTATGGTAGAAGAGGGAGCCTCGAATTTATACCATGGGATAACCTCAGAAACCATTTCTATAGTGAACTGTGCCTTTAAGGTTATAGTGTTTGATTTTTGCAGCTGTGAGGGGATGCGCTTAACTGGTTTATCGTCGACAGGCAAAATACCCTTTTTCTAATGTTTGGATAGGTCTGCCAATCTTCTGAAATGAGCTTTCTCTAGTGGAACGTTGATGTTCTTTCAACCGATACCGGTTACGGTAATAGGAGGACGTCCGGACTGCACAATTGCGGATGAAAGAAACATTGGCTCTGACCTTGCTGGCTGGGCAGCTTTTGGCTAAATGCCGATTTCCGCAAACAAAGGAGGGATTTCCACTGAGCATACATGGGCGACACTTCTCATTATACTCTATAAACACCTCTAGAGAGCGCTTTGGGAGGCGATCTCACGCTTCTGAATTGAAAATGAGCCATGGGAAGGTCGCTATACGAATGCCTCTGCCGTTCGACATCGAATCACCGCCATGATTGATTCTCTTCTAACAATTTATATTCATTAAACGAACGTCGGATATTTTTCCTTGCTTTTCCTGGCTAATGGTGTCCAAAAAGCCTTCCTCCAGGACGGAAAGGATTACAGCTCAAAGACAAATGACGATTTCTATTTTTCGAACTTTTTATGGGAACGCCGTAGCCGTAGTACCAGGAGGATCTCGATCACTTTGGGACGAAGCAGTCATTAAAAGGCTACTACCAACTCATACTTGAACGAGTAAGCCCCAAAACATCGTGAATAGGTCCATCCTGAGTAGATCCTGTCGTGCGATACTACTTACTGTAGTGCCTCCTACTATTAGGACGGGCTCTTCAAGAATTTCTGTCATTTCTTAGGTAAGCGGGGAACTTTCGTTTTTATAGGGCTATATTTAACGCCAGGGAGGTAGCCCATGGGCTAAAAGTACTGTTTGGGCTGAGTGCAGAACCAAAACCCGTGCAGGTTTCGAGGCCTCTTGTCCTGCTGGTCCTTCCTATGTCCTCGAAAGGTCCTGGACTAATCAGTTGGCTAATTTTATTTTTCTATTCTGGTAAAATCCTATCCTGGATCGATCAGTTTAGTCAGTACTGGGTTTATACTAGGATTTAGGCTATATCGTGTGCTCAGCTTTCTCTCAGGCTCAGATACCCGAGATTAACTGACTGCGGCCATCTATGGCAGTAGATAGTTGATGTTTTGTCTCTTTGTTGATGACTTTGTTTATACTGCTAAGCCCTTCTTTTCTAGCCTTATTATGGCGCACGTGAGTGCTGTCTCGAATTGGACTCAATTAAAATAAGTTCAACTAACATCTACATATGGATAATGAGATGTTTATTATGCGACAGCTTCTAATTGCTCATACATAGAAGCTAGAAGTCACTAGAGTCTCGGGTAAGGGTGTGTGTCAAGTTTACTTNCCGAGATTAACTGACTGCGGCCATCTATGGCAGTAGATAGTTGATGTTTTGTCTCTTTGTTGATGACTTTGTTTATACTGCTGAGCCCTCCTTTTCTAGTCTTATTATGGCGCACGTGAGCGCTACCTCGAATTAGACTCAATTAAAATAAGTTCAGCTAACATCTACAGATGGATAATGAGGTGTTTATTATGCGACAGCTTCTAATTGCCCATACATAGAAGCTAGAAGTCACTAGAGTCTCGGGTAAGGGTGTGTGTCAAGTTTACTTTGAATACATCAGTAGTCAGAGTAGGTCGTTAGGTTCGCTTTCCGACATGCACCATACAGTAAAGCACTACCGTTTCCCCTTGTAGGTATTCAGCATAGATCGTGAATGCTTACTCCGGCCAATGTAAAAATCGAATTAGGTATTTCTTCATAATTGTGTCAATTTCTGCAAGCTGGGGTCTCTCGGTAGTAATGACCAATGTCGACTATACTACAGCGAAAGATTGACAGCCGTCGGGGAAAACATGATTAATGGCAGGGCTTAATGGCGACGTTCGTTGAATGTTTCACGCGTTTCACACTACGACAGATGTCACACACCGTCAGAAAGGCGGTCCAGGCGTTTTCTGCTTTACCCAGCTCTTGTTAGTGTCCACTACTCACGTACTCATAACCGTTAGCTACTTCCCATATCACCCAGTCGCTGGCTTTCCTTTCCCAATCTCGATGCATCGACAATCGTGGCGTGATGGGTGGCGACGATGGTGGTTGTGGTGGCGGTGGTGTAGGTGTAGGCGTGGCCGATCTCTTTCGATCTCGTCGCCTCTCCGTACGATGTTCGGACGGCGAAAGGTCGCCCCATTCTGTGCCGTTCTAGGCGCTTGGGCTTTGGTCACCTTATATTTCTTTGGGCGATCTGGTCCACTTCCATCTGCACATTCACTACTCAGAGAAGATGAACCGATTGCTAGAGAATCTGTGGGTGGTAATGAGCCAAACATCAAACTCCAGGATATCAACAACGATTTCAACGTCGAAGAGTACAAAAAGGTAAGTGCAATCGTCTATGTAGGGAATCGCCTGCGCAAATTACCCGGATTGATTGCTTTCCTGACTGGCTATGTTTTTACTCTCGCGATTCTCGATGAGCTCTATTACTCTCGACCAGTTCGTTACGTAACAGTAGACAGTTCTTTTACGGGAAGCAATTAATTTCCTTCTCCGCAAAATGTTCGATTCCAGACCTTGGGAAATATTAATTAAAATTGGTAACTTAAAAATAAAAATGCTGTATATACTTCAGGTAGAGAATGACTTTGATGATCACAAATTTGGAGACGAAGATGTAAAAGAGCCGAGTAAAGTGGATGAAGAAATGAAAGAGGAAAAGCAACCCGATCGGGTGATGCCGGCCGCGGTGATCGTACCAATCGAAGAACGTGAACCGGAAGTTGATCTCGAAAAGCTCGCCATGATAAACACCCCAGAAGAGGAGGTAAACAGCATCTCTCGGATTTCATTCAATTCATCCGTTCATCTTCGTTTTGTTCCCATTCATCTACTAGCTAGTGTGATG